GGGTAACGCATTACAAGTAACGCGAGTTACGTAATCAGATTACTTTTTTCAAGTAACTAGTAAAGTAACGCATTACTTTTTAATTTACAAGAGAATATCTGAGTTACTTTTTCAGATAAGTAACGCAAGTTACTTTATTTTTTCAATGTATTGATTGACAGCTCTCCTGTCCCCATGTTGAGAGAAATCAGAAGACGTTACTGTAATTCTAAAATAAATATGAATATGCACTAATTAATCTCACTCACAAAAAAATAAATAAAAACACAGATTCAGTATTCCTCAAAATGAATAAAAATAATGCAACTCAGAATATGAAACCTGCAATAATTAAATGTTAAACAACACAAATATCCTTTTATGTATTTAATCCCATTCTATTAACCAATGTCTTTGCTTCTGACCTTTGATGATCCAGTTCAACCATACTAATAAGCACAAATTACTCTAGACAAACATTTGTGTCTTTTTTTATTGCTGAAGTGTGTTGAATTTCTTCTTCTGCATTCTACAGACGTAAATTTACGCTTTTATATTTGCCAGAAATATAACTTTTTTTATTTTAAAAACAAACAAGCAAGCCCTGTCCAGATTTAAAAAGTAACGCAAAAGTAACGTAATGAATTACTTTCCAAAAAAAGTAACTAAGTAACGTAATTAGTTACCTTTTTATGGAGTAACGCAATATTGTAATGCATTACTTTTAAAAGTAACTTTCCCCAACACTGCTATTTATACTTTACACATTCTATAAAAGACAAAAAGCACCATAAAAGCAGACCAGACGACTCGTATGCTATATTCTGAAGCCATACAACAGCTTGTGTGACAAACAATCTCAAATATTGGGGTGAACTATTAAAACAACTGGACTTGACAGCTGTATTTAGCTGCAATGTGGGCATGGCCTCTGTGTATTCAGGTCTATGTGGCATGGCAAGTGTGTATGATATGCATTGTGCTAACAGGGATCAATTAGCTAAGAACAGTTACAAACAGCAGTCAAGTAGAACATTCACGTCCATGTTATTTCTAGAGGTCTTGAGAAACTGACAATATTTTGATATTATAATGAAAAAATATGATTACTGTTCATAATAAAAAAGTGGAAAGGAAGAAGTTTGTTTTATTTTATTTATTTATTTGTTTGTTTGCTATAGCATGGTTTGTCAGAATGCACTGCTATTTTTGAATGTCTGTCAATGGAAAATGTGCTTTTATCCCTCATAATGTTGTAATTACACCAACTACCACCAGGGGCTTTTTGCATCATGCATCTTTGACCCTCTGCTGTATACTGACTCTCTAAATGCTGTATTTTCGACCACCACAAGATGGAGACAGCAAACCTACACAAAACAATTAACTGAGGACTGGGACACCAGTAAGACAAAGGACTGTCAGAATCAAGTCATGCATAGTAAGTACAGGTGGAGCCAGTAATCCACACCTTCACAATATTACATAAAGTAAAGCTTTCTCAGTCCTGCATTACCATATACAGGACTTTTCCCTAGTGAAAATCTTACGGAAATGTCTAAGGATCCAATAGGACTTTTCTCAAGAATCAAATTTCACAATCTGAAATGTTCTCATTTTTAAAGTGTCTAAATATAAATATAAAAGGCATTAATAACTGTTGTCAAAATCCTATAAGAATGGATTCCTACTGGATCCTAATTTGGAACCAACTTTAACATAAGCCAATTGAAATTAAAAACTAGATCTAGTTACTAACAGCACTATTATGATTGATTATCATTAGAATAATATGTCTGTGTGGGATATTAAAAGGAATTTCAAGAGTAATAGGATTTCCTTATCGTTATTTCCCTTTTTCCTTTGTCCTTTATCTATTCAGTAGTACGGCATGTTCTGATAAAGATTACACAATATCCAGTATAGGAGGTCAAGGATACTGTAGGATTTTCAGTTTGGTTAAGTTCCACTGGAATCTTATTTAAACTGGTTCCAAATTATGATCCAAAGAAATTCTTTAAACATTTTGACTGGGGCATCACAAGAACTATGTCTTGGTAATGTACAGTTAAGAATCCCACAGGGGGCGCGCTCTAGGAGTTTAAAAATAATTTTCTTTCAATTACTTTTAATGTCTTACATGGGCATTTTATCTGACTGCTAAGAATAAAAATCCAAACTACAGTATGTGTTCTAAAAGATACAGGTTCTGGTTTGTGTTTTGTTGAAGTCCTGTAAAAAAAATAAAAATCAGTAGTATAATTTTCAGTTGGTTCCAAATTATGATCCAGCAGGAATCCTATACATATTCCTGTAAGATTTTGGCTAAACTAGATGCTTTCATACCAAATCACTCACAAGTTACCAAGAACCAGTAGCAGTGTTCCTGTAATTCAGCTGGTAGAGCATGACCCGAACAACACCAAGGTCGCAGGTTTGGTTCTCAGGGAACGCACACACTGATTAAAAAAACGAAACAAAAACAAAACGTAAAGCTTGACCGCACTGTAAGCCCTTTTGAATGAAAGCATATCAGCCAGGTGCATAAATGTAAATAAGAACTAAAACACAGCCAAGTAAGAATGTCACAACACAGAGAAAGAACATTTCTCTTATTCAACCTGTGAGTTATTAACCTGTTTAGGGCATGCAATATTTCAAGGTTCATGTCCTCTCTCTCCTTCTAACTGTGCCTTTCTTTGACTATACCTGAGGAGACTGTGGCCCCTCCCACATATCCAGTTCTCTGGCCCCTTTCAAGGCACACACACAGGCAGTTCAATAATGAGCTCTTTGTGGGGGGTTGAGGTATGCAGTGAAAGTGTTTGCTTGTGTGTGTATGTGAGAGAGAGAAAGAGAGTTAACCTTTACTTGAAGGTGTGTGTGAACAGAATTACAACAGAGAAAGCAGGAAAACAGGAGGAGAGAAAAGAGTGTGTACAAACAAGAAAAGGACAAATCTGGTATGGATGCATTTGTTTCTGTTTGACGTGTTTCTCAGTCAGTCTTTGGGACGTTATATGTCTGTTTGTCATGGTAACAATAAACAGTCACTACTTACTATAAGAATACATGCAGTAACTTGAGCTCCTTTGCTTTCGCTCTAACAAAATACTACTTGAATCAGTGTTTTGCTTTTGTCTTATGTGTAATACAAGATTGATTAGATACTATTGTTAAAAGTGGGTCTGAAGGACTTTATATAAGTCCAGATCCGTACTGCAGTCGGATACTCCCAGTGAGACTCATAACTGGCTCTGCTTAGAGCTGATCAAACATGTTTTGAACTCTCTTTCCACAATCAGTTCATGCATGCTATTGTAGATTTCAGTATTTGCATGTCAATTACCTTTCATTAATAAAGTCTAATGTCTCTGACACTGTTAAAAAAGTCTTCACTGCAAAAAGCCTCTGGATTTTGAAGGACTAAATGTATGGTCCTGAAGTGGTACAGAAACTAGTAAACAGACATTTCCAGTAAGTTTTGCAGGTGTCTGTGTTCTTTTGTCTCTATTGTTTATTGTGCTCAGGTACATATCCTATTACAGGAGCTACTGCATAACACTACAATAGCCTGTGAAAATGCCAAATATTCTAGTGTCTGTCTGTCCATCCATCCATCTATCTATCACTGAGAAAATAACATAAAAACATCTAAATGAACTGGTTTTAATATCATTATTTAAGAAATATTATTTAAAATCACCTAAATGTATCCACCTAAATGGATTGATTTATACTAACAAAACACATTTTTATGTTTTAAAACCATGTCTATCTATCTATCTATGTTTGTCCATCTGTAAGGCCTATACAGTTCATGACTGTGAAGCCTTTTCAAAGTCTGTCTTGACAAACTTTGCTTTTCTAGTTCAAATTTACAGTTACATGACTTTATTTGCATGTCAATTCATTCAATTCACATTCCCTGCTTCCATACATTTAAATGACAGATTTGAATTCCAATTTTGCATCATGTTTCCAATTCAAATTGAGAAACATGAAATGCATTCTCTTTTAGATTTGAATGACACACAACTCTGTTACTCACAAGCATGGCTTTCCATTGTTTCTTCTTCAATATTCAATTTTTTTTATTGTAGGTACTTTGGATAAAAGCATCTGCTAAATGAATGCATGTAAATGCTTTTGCTGTGTTTGTGTGTTTTTCACAGGGCGATGCTTAGTGAGTGGTTTTGGTGGGATCGGCTGTGGTTGCCAAGGCCGGTGACATGGGCGGACCTACAGGACAGTGAGGGGCGTGTCTATGCCTGTGTGTCCCATTTGTACATCATTCTACCTGTAGCAGTCCTGCTGTTAGGCTTAAGAACTTTCTATGAAAGGTACATGTTATTGAAAAGACGAGCTTACATCAGCATTAATTTACATGCTGGTTTTTGCTGAATAGTGCTGGTGGAATTGTATATTCATGCTGTTCATCAGGAAAACTGAGCTGGTAAAGCCAGTTGGTCAAGGAAGCTTTACTGCTTAAGATAATGAATAAGTCTGGTGAAAACACCATGTATTATATGTTCTTATAATTGCTGAAGTGCAGTGAACGTCTCTGATTAACAGCAGATCAAGGTGTGACTCTGTCTCGCTGCCTCTCCCTCATTCAACAGGTTGATCGCGGTGCCACTCGCTGAGGCTCTTGGGGTTAAAGACAAAATTCGCAAGAGAGCGTCACACAACCCCATACTGGAAATATACTACAATACACACTCTAAACATCCAACACAGGTAACCCCCGAAACATGCATTTTAATGCATTCATATAATGCATTAAATCAGAAAAAAAACAGGTGGTAAAAAATAAAAAATATATATAAATAAAAATGTAAGGACCTTTAAGATTTTTTTACAATATGTATTGTTTTGAAAATGACACATTTCCCCCTAAATATGAATCTTTGTTAACTTCCATTTAGGCTTATTTTAATGAATAATAATAATACAACATTTCTGAACGATTGATGCTCTTAATCACAATCAAGAATAATTAGCAAGTAATATATGCCATGTTTTTGTGAAAATTTCCCTCCAAAATAGTCATTTATATAGATCAGTGATTAAAACATGTTATTAAAACCAAATATTATGTTTTAAAATGGATTAGATTCTTTTGGAACCATGTGTATTACAAATAAAGTGTTTTATAAATAAAGGTTGATTTAAGTTGAGTGTAGGCACATACTATAATGTATTATTATAATAGTAGTTCAGTTATTTATGAAAATATATAATGTCTCACAATATGTATAAGGTATTACAAACATGAAATGATTCTCACTGAGAAATTGATTGATACAACACAAATATTAACAAAGAATGGCAAACAACACACAGAATTAAACATGACATTTTGAAAGACTGAAAACATATTTTGTTGTAAAAACATGCTCTAATAATTTTTGTTTTATTTACAATTTCAAAAAATATTTTTTTCAGTGTAGCTTTGTAATGCATTATATAAGCAGGCTTCAGCAATTAATAGAAAAATATGTCCTATTCACCAGTATATGTAGGACCAGCACATTTTGACATATGATGTGTATGTGTCTAGTAATGTTTGTGTATGTCATGTACTTAGGCAGATATAAAAGGTGTGTGTAAAAGGTTGGGCTGGTCAGAAAGGCAGGTGGAGCGCTGGTTCCGCAGACGGAGGAACCAAGACAGACCCGGACTACTGAAGAAATTCAAAGAAGCCAGGTATATTTACACACACTAAACAAACTTTCTTTATTGACTCATTTGTATTTGGCTATATTTGACCTTTTAACCGTTTTCAAACGTGTATGTTTGTTATTAACAATAGTATTTCCTCTCTGTAGCTGGCGGTTTGCCTTTTATCTGTGTTCGTCTTTCGGAGGAGTGCTGGCTTTACACGATGTAAGTGATTTTTTTATGTATATACAAACCTCAGGCTGTATCTGAACACCTGAATGACCTCCAAACAGCTGCGTGCATGTGTGTGTGTTACAGCACATGCAGAGATTCTCAGGAGAGACCTTGAATCAGCATGTGTGTTTGTGAGAAATGCTTAAAGGGGTAATTAGTAACATTTTCCCACCTGAGAACAGCGCCAGCCTGGTAGAAAGATCCACAAACGGGCACAATAACAGGCATGGACAGGCCCTGCACACACACACATTAACTTGTTGTTAAGACAAGCATCACTATTACTATACTAACGTATTCAATTTAGGCATGTAATCTCATATCACCATCAAGGGTTTAGGTACGTAGAGAATTAGCAGTGTTGGGGAAAGTTACTTTTAAAAGTAATGCATTACAAAATTGCGTTACTCCATAAAAAAAGTAAGTAATTACGTTACTTAGTTACTTTTTATGGAAAGTAATGCGTTACGTTACTTTTGCGTTACTTTTTAAATCTGGACAGGGCTTGCTTGTTTGTTTTTAAAATAAAAAAGTTCTATTTTTGGCAAATATAAAAGCCTTTTCACCCCAAAAGTGAAATGAATAAGCCTCAGGCTGAAGGGAAAGTACATTTACGTCCGCACAGTAGAATGCAGAAGAAGACATTTCAACACACTTCAGCAATAAAAAAGACACACAAATGTTCGTCTAGAGTAATTTGTGCTTATTAGTACGGTTGAACTGGATCATCGAAGGTCAGAAGCAAAGACATTGTTAATAGAATGGGATTAATGCGACGCAAACCTGCGTCATATTCTGAGTTGCATTATTTTTATTCAGTTTGAGGAATACTGAATCTGTTTGTTTGTTTTTGTGAGTGAGTGCGATGAATTCATGCATATTCAGATTTATTAAATTTTTTATTTGAAAACAGTATCTCAGATATTCTCTTGTAAATTAAAAAGTAATGCATTACTTTACTAGTTACGTGAAAAAAGTAATCTGATTACGTAACTCTCGTTACTTGTAATGCGTTACCCTCAACACTGAGAATTAGCCTATGGGGTGGGCTCTTTTGAATTGGGTTTTTAATAACACATAAATCAACTTGTTGTTTTGAAGAACTTATAATTAAACAATTTCACAAGAGCAAACGTGCAGGTTATCACAGCTGTGGAGATATTCAGACCAACGGTCTCTGAGTAGACTACGATATTGTTCAATAAACAAGAAGGTAATGATGAGTAATTTAGTCATTCTTGAGACGTGGGACAAAACGGGTCCAGCAAGTGTAACTGCTATTAGCTTTAAAAAAGACAAATATTTTCAATTGTAAATGTCATGAGGGATTAATAATAGAATGTATTTAACACAATTATCACCTTCAATTTAATTTTCTCATTATTATACCAAATCTGTGTTTCTTAATGTCCTCTCACTACATCTAAAACAGTGTGTCCACAGAGAAGGGTTCAAGCATTCATATGCAATCAAATGGATACAAATGTTTTTTAATGATGAAAAAGAGCTTGTTTTATCAAAAGCAACACTTAATAATATCTCCTATCAAAGCAAGGTTGTTTTTTTAATGACACATGCATGTTTCATAAGATTTTAAAGTTGCGTCCCCACTTTTTGTCAACACCGTCAGACATTGAATCAAATGTAATAAAATCAGGGAACATCAGGGGCCACAGTTCACCTCTGCAGAGTACATCAGTGTCAGACAGGCTCTGCTAAGTTTTAGTTTTAGAATATTTTAACTCCTAATGTTAATATTTCCTTTGTCACAGCCATGATATGTCAACACCATCTTCCAATTTCTGAGGAAATTATTTGAAATATTTAGATGATTGTATTCTCCTGAAGCAGGTTGTATTAGCATCTAGCATCAACAGAAACAAAGAAAATGGCTACTACATGAACTGCATTGGTTTTGTGAAAGAAATGCCAAATTTGTCAACACCGTCAGATGTCACCACCATAAGATTTTGTGTTCCAATCATATATCAAAATACTTCAATGTGCCTCTTGAATAAAAGCTTTATAAACAATAACATACTGTTTGTTGTGTTTGTTTTAATACAGTAATTGACAGATTCAATGTATTTGATAGTTAAAATTATTACAAATTCAGGTTTTCGTCACCTCCGTCAGATGTGTCAACTCGGTCAGTTCTGTCACCTCCGTCAGTTTAATATTTTGATAATAGTTCATTATGATATTTTAGATTTGTTGTGGAATTGTTGGTCACATGTGAAAGTGTAATCTGTCTGCTAACAGGAGAATGTGTTTTGAAATGTTAAAAACATCTTGAATGCTGCAAAGATAAAGTTTAAATTATATTACACAGTCCAAGCTAAAAAAAAAAGCACTTTGTTAAAAAGAGAAAAGTTGGGAGGTTGTATCAAAGCATAGCTCAGTAGCTTAGTACATATAAGATACATAAATGTAGTTTCATTTATCTGAGTACAAGGTTTTATTTTTTCAATTTTGCACCCTGTTTTGTCCCACTTCTCAAGAATGACTGGACAGTTAAGTCTGAATATGTTTTAATCAATCGTCGAGTATCTCCGAGTACACATCGTAGCGCTGTTTCATTCTGAAGTGAATCTGTTGATTCCAATGATTCAAAGATTCACTCACTCGACGCCACCTACTGGCGTGACGATGCAACTTGGAGAAAGAATCTGAAAAGACTGCAATACTTTAGTGTTTATTTTATGTGTTATTTGGTTGTAAAAATAAATCAATAAACTGTGAATTGTGTTGTTTTGTGCCACAGAAACCATGGTTTTATGATCTTAGGGAAGTGTGGGCAGGATTTCCCAAACAAGTAAGTATAACATAAGAAAAAACATTACCTTCGAGTTTTTTAAAAGCAAAAATTAATATACTGTACGTAGTACAGTGAAAACCAGTCTTAATATTTGCATGTTGTTCTGGGAGGGTTGTGTTTGTGCAAGCATGTGTTTGTATGGCGGTTGGTTTTTTAATGTTTATTTTGTGTGTGTGTGTGTGTGTGTGTGTGTGTGTGTGTGTGTGTACAGTCACTGCTGGACTCTCAGTACTGGTATTACATCATTGAGATGAGTTTTTATGGTTCTTTACTGTTCAGTGTGGCTGCAGATGTAAAACGTAAGGTAAGCATGCACTATTATTATTAACAATCATAAAAAATATGTATGACTATTAGATCAAATTATTAAAGTCACACCAAGCACTCTGCAAATTCTTTAATATTGAGAACGGTTTTTAGAACTATATCTTTATCGTTATCTTTATAGTTATCGTGCTTGGTGTGAACGGGCCTTTATTCAACTAGCTTGCAGGTAGCACTGCTAATAATGTCATAAAACAATCAGCAAGCAAGCACAAATTCATGCAGTTCAATGCATAAAGTTCAATGAATGGTTGTTTTACATTCATTAAAATAATATGCTTTTGGAGACATTTTATGAAATTTGTAACTGTAACTGAAAAAAATGTATATGAATATGAAGTTGCCATTTCTTGAGAGATATGTCTGTCTAGGTTTGTGGAGCTCTGTTTCTCTCTGTGTCAATTTGTAGGACTTTAAAGAGCAGTTGGTCCATCACTGGGCCACACTAACACTGCTGTCCTTCTCCTGGTGTGCCAACTACATCCGCATTGGTACACTGGTTATGCTGGTGCACGACACATCCGATGTCCTACTCGAGGTGAGAGAGAGATGAACAGTGAAAGAAGAGTTCAACATGTTTTCAAGGGAAGGATAGTTCACCCAAAAATGAAAATTCTGTCATCATTCAGTTACTTACCTTCACATTGTCACAAACCTGTACAACTTACTTTCTTCTGTGGAACACTAAAGGAGATGATTGTGTTTATAGGATTTTTTTTTTCTAGTAGTAGATATATATTTCTATTTCAGCATATTAGAATGATTTTTAATGATGCTGAAAATTCAGCTTTGTATCACAGGAATAAATTATATTTAAAATATATTCAAATAGAAAACAGTTATTTTAAATTGCAATTACATTTTGCAATATTTATGTTTTTACTGTATTTTGCTGAGCACAAGATTTCATTCAAACTGTTAAAAACTCTTACCAACCCAAACTTATATGTACAGGGGTATATATGTTTTGTGTTAAAGGTTGTCATTTTTCTGTTTTTCTAAGTCTGCTAAGATGTTTAACTATGCTGGATGGGAGACGACCTGCAACAGTATCTTTGTGGTGTTCGCTCTGGTCTTCATGGTAACCAGACTCATCATTTTTCCTTTCTGGTAAGTTATGTGACAGAGGTAAATGAGTGGGAGATTTTAGGGTTACATTTGTTAAATCGTGTGTGTGTGTGTGTGTGTGTCGTGTGTACAGGCTGATCCACTGTACGTGGGTGTATCCTCTGGACCAGTTCGAACCCTTTTTCGGCTATTATTTCTTTAACGTCATGCTCGTGGTGCTGCTGTTATTGCACGTGTTCTGGGCTTCTTTGATTCTCCGCATGGTCAAAAAGTTTATTTTCGGCAAAGTGAGTATCCATTGTTCTTCATATAAGATAACAAATAAAGCAGTATGTGCATTTTAGTGATTTTACTACAGTTAATGTGTGGTTGGACTTTTCTTCACGTATTAAACAGCAAAAAATAAAAACAAATCAGTTTATTAAAAAGTAAATGTGTATGTATGTAAAAACGTTCACACAAGCAGATTAAATGCACAAGATTAATTCTCTTTCATTCTCTTTAGCTGAAGTGCGATGAGCGCAGCGATGAAGAGGAGGATGAGGAGGGTTCTGAGGAAGACTACACACACACCTACTCTAATGGATCTGGGAACGGACTGTCTAATGGCCATTGACACAGAGGGAGCCCTTCCACAAATAGCCTTTTGATGCCATGCATGCATATATGTCCATATTGGACACATGATTCATCTGTGAATTTTCTTTTTTACATAGTCTTTCATATTAAGGTTTGTATATGTACAGATATTATGGTAGATAAATAAAATCAATACAAATTGTTACTCAAGTTAACAGTCATTTAACATTTTTAAACATTTATTTATGAATTAAAACTTGTTAGCATGTGCCAGTCCAAAGAGTAGTTACATTTATCAATACAAAGTATCTTACTCTCATCAAGGCTGCATTTATTTGATCAAAAATACAGTAAAAACAGTAATATAGTGAAATATTAAAACAATTTCAATTAACAACAATTTTCTTTTTTTTAATCCATTTAAAATTTAATTTATTTCTGTGATGCAAAGCTGAATTGTCAGCATCATTACTCCAGTCTTCAGTGTGACATGATCCTCAAAAAATCATTTTAATATGCTGATTTGCCGCTCAAGAAACATTTATTATTATTATCAGTCGAAAATAGTTGTGCTTACTATTTTTGTGGAAACTGTGATACATTTTATCAAGATGAATAGAAAGTTCAAAAGAACAGCATTTATTTAAAATAGAAATCTTTTGTAACATCAGAAATGTCTTTACTGTCACTTTTGATCAATTTAATGCATCCTTGTTGAATAAAATTATTAATCTTACTGACCCTGAAATGTTTAATTGTACTCTACACTGTGCTATACCAACACTCTATACTATAATATGAAGAGTAATATATAGTGACAAACAGTATTAACAAACATAATGGCTCAATATTTCACTCATATTCAGAAAGTGTCCTTCCAAAAACAAGGCAGATGCTCTCAGATACTCCACGTAGCTCTTAGATTGTTGATGTATTCTTCATCATCAGGGATTTCAATACTCAGACCCTCATAATAGTCCTCAAACTCAGCGTAGGACACGGTCTTGGTGACCTTTCCTGCTTCCCGTACGAAGGCCAGAAGGTCAGGGTTCAGATCGGCTTCTGTCAACAGTTCGACATGAGAATGGTAATAAATTCATAAACATCAATCATCCATGTGGCCTATGCAGTAATATTACTTTTGTAAGTTTGTTGCAAGAGTGAATCTGAAAAAAATGAACTCTATGCAGCCTTTTTGGAAATCAATATTGAAGTGCCACAGGTTTAACACTCAATGTTTGTCATGAAATATTGACTGACACTGAATAAACACAACTAAAATACTATTGTCTGTGAGCAAGACAGTGCTCAGTGGCTCACCGAGTGCAGTGTCAAAGTCTTGTTTGCCTCTATAGAATTTTTCAATATCGCTGAGGAAGATGGAGTCGGTTTTATTTGGGTCAAGCTTTACATAAACCTAAAAAAGAGAAAGATACAAACATTCAAAACAGCAGCAAATGGCCAGAATGGAAACTCAATAAGTCACAGAGCTCAAGGGCGTCCTCTGGAGGACGATAGCAGTCCGGCTGGTCTGTTACCTTCAGGAAGATGGCTTTTCTGTTCTCGCTCATCTCCCCGGTAACGGCACGCATCACATCAGTGGGGTGCACCTGCCCCTCCGCACGCCGACTCACAATCCTCCACACCGCCTCGAAGTCCTGTCACACAGGGCACACGCTAACGTAACGACTCAACACGATCACATAATGTCCTACACCAACATGCCTACTGCTTTCCTACAGCCTCATCATTTCTGCTGTACAGACACAGATAGATAGATAGATAGATAGATATTTGGGGGAAATGCAAAAATTGATGATTTTATTTCTCTTAACCTGCTGAGTGATAAGTCCTGTCACACAGGGCACACGCTAACGTAACGACTCAACACGATCACATAATGTCCTACACCAACATGCCTACTGCTTTCCTACAGCCTCATCATTTCTGCTGTACAGACACAGATAGATAGATAGATAGATATTTGGGGGAAATGCAAAAATTGATGATTTTATTTCTCTTAACCTGCTGAGTGAGGCACAGCTGCTCCATCAGAGATTGTCCGAGCAGCTCTTTTTGTTGAATACTATCAGACTTTAGATGTAAATCTCTCCCTAGATTGATCAGGGTTCGGACCGCATGTCCCTTCAGCCTATCACGCACTGCACCTGCAAAACATCCACCAATCAGAACGCTGGATTCCAATTCAAGCATTCTGTGGCTGGTTAATTAATTATTATTAATGTAGCCCTAAGAGTACACAGTCACTTTAAGGTGAAGTGTGTCATTTCAAGTAACTCAATATGTGTTTTAAAGGTTTTTTACTTCACAGGACATCTTAAAAATCTCATTCTCATGGTGCAAGACCAGATTGATAAATTTGATTTGGTTTGTACATATAATTGTTTGAACAATTATATTTACAAACAAGTGCTGTCAAATTGATTAATCGCTTCCAAAATAAAAGTTTGTGTTTACATAATATAAGTGTGTGTACAGTGTCTATTTATATGTATATACAATATAAATACACACATACATGTATATATTTAAGAAATATATGTAATATATACATGTGTGTGTGTGTGTGTATATGTATGTATATATATATATATATATATATATATATTTACATAATATAAGTGTGTGTACAGTGTCTATTTATATGTATATACAATATAAATACACACATACATGTATATATTTAAGAAATATATGTAATATATACATGTGTGTGTGTGTGTGTATATGTATGTATATATATATATATATATATATATATATTAAATTTATATTAAATATTACATATATTTCTTAAATATATATATATACACATATATACACACACACACACACACGTAAAAAAAAAAAACTTTTATTTTTGATGCGATTAAACAATTTTACAGTACTAGTACAAACATAAAAGTAAGACTTTAAAAGAAATGGATACTTTTATACAGCAAGAATGCATTAAATTGATCAAAAGTGTCAATAAAGATATTTGTTTTTATATTGTTATATTGTAAATAAATGCTGTTCTTTTGAACTTTCTATTCATCCTGATAAAATGTATCACAGTTTCCACAAAAATATTAAGCAGCACAACTACAGTTTTTTCAGCATTGATAATAATAATAAATATTTCTTGAGCAGCAAATCAGCTTATTAGAATGATTTCTGGAGGATCATGTGACACTGAAGACTGGAGTAATGATGCTGAAAATTCAGCTTTGCGTCATAGGAATAGATTACATTTTAAATGTAATATGTTAAAAAAGATAGCAGTTACTTTTGTTATAATATTTCACAATTTTATTGTTTTTGTTTTTTTTAACACAAAAGCATCCTTGGTGAGCATAAGCGACTTCTTTCAAAAACAACAAAAAATCTTACCGACCTTATCGATTGATTGATTGTCATGCAACTAATCTGATTAAAAATTTTGACAGCTCCAATTTTAACATTAAAAATGACATCACCTTATAAACAGGTTTGTGTGGGTGAGAAACATTCTGGATGAATATTTATGCATTTCAATAAGAAATGGTTGTGTGTAAGAGAAAGGCATGTGTTAAGTACTAACCTTGAATTTCCTGTAGAGTGTTTCGATCGTTGATTTCCTCTTCAGAGAGATGATGTAGAGTTTCCCCAGACTGAGTTCTGTGCAAAAGAAACACTCTGAGCCCTTTCACTTGTGCACACGTGTGTGTGTGTGTGTGTGTGTGTGTGTGTGTGTGTGTGTGTGTGTGTGTGTGTGTGTGTGTGTGTGTGTGAGATACACCAAGGGCCGCG